CCGGCCACAGATGCCCGAGCGCCAGCAGGACCCTCCCAGGGAGGACGCGCATCCCCGTCCACCCGGGAAGAACCTGCCTCCTCAGCTGGAGCAGTGAGGGCACCGCCAGCACCACGCGTGTCAGACACACCGGGACGCCAGGGGCGGCCCCTTTCCTGCAGCCGTGTCTCAGGGCCTCTCCTCTCACCATGTCCCCATCCCCGGCCTGGGGGGGCAGCCACGCTCTCCCCGCAGTCCTGGGTGAGCAGGTCTGCCCGGGGGCGCCCGAGGAGCTGATCAAATGGACTGTGCGCCCGGCCGGTGTGGCTCAGTGGATAGAGCGTCGGCTGCGGGCGGAAGGGTCCTGGGTTCGATTCCAGTCAAATGGCATGCACCTCAGTTGCAGGCTCGATCGCCAGGCCCCAGTCGGGTGTGTGAGGGAGGCAACCATCGATGTGTCTCTCACATCGATGTTTCTCTCACTCTGTCTCCCCTCCCTCCCACTCTCTCTAAAAGTCAACGGGAAAACACGCGTGGTGAGGATCAGCCCCCACCATCACCACCACGAAAGGACTTCGCCTCGCAGACTGGAGGCCCCGCTGTTAACCCGGCACCAGAAGAGACCGTCGCTGTGAGAGGGAACCTGAGCCAGGCCTCTCGGTGAGCTGGCGATCACTCACGTGCCTAGCATGACCTCGGAGTGGGTTCCCCGCGACGTGAGCAAGGCGACGGCTCTCGGACGCGCGGGCTGAGGGCTGACACGGGGCACCAGGGCCCTCCTGCCCCCACACCGCCCACCCCCGGGCCCTGGGCACGTACCAGCAGGCGAGGATGCAGAGCCCCGTGAAGAGGGTGATGGGGATGGGGTAGGAGGCGCAGAGCAGCCCATGGTTGTAGAAGGCCCGCGATATCTTCTCACGCAGCCTGTCAGTCAGGGTCATCCTCAGCACAGGTCACCTTGCTGCCATCCCGGACGTACGCAGGGGTCAGCCGGCAGGCGCTCCCCGGGGCTGGCGGCCACCATCTGCCCTGGGGGGAGGGGAAGCAGTGAGCAAGGGGGTGGCTGGGAGGTGCAGTGACAGGGGAGGGGGAGACTCGGGGCGTCTAACAGGCGCTCCCCCGGGCGTGGCCCCGCATGGACCAGGGAAGCTCGTGTGTGAGGCCATCGCCTCCCGCCGCCCTCTCTGTGCGCAGGTCAGATGAGAGCACCTTTGGGGAAACCTTCGGGCAGGGCTGACCCCACCGGCAGGGACTCACGGGTCAAGCATGTCCGGCGTGGTCAGCCCCCCGGGAAAGCACCCACAGCCGCCTGACGGCCCCCTCCAGCCAACAGCC